TCCTTATAGCATTTATCCTTATTTGATTCATACACCATATTCTCGGCTTTTCTGCTTTTTTATTTTAATAACAGACTAAACTTCCATCCCTAACATACATGCTCATATTTTCCTTCATTATCTTTCTTGTTCTTACATCTATTAGCTTCTCAGGAGCTCACTCCCTAATTTTTGTAAGCATTTATTGTTTTCCCTATACAAAGTATGTGTCTAGCCTTTTTAGCCGATTTGATTGTAAAATGCTCACAGTTTATAAAAGTATATAAATAGTTAATTTCTCGTTTTATAAGGTCGTGCCATTACTTCATCCAGTTTTAAAATTTACCAAAGTATACGTTTTATCTGAACATTTACTTCAATACCTAGTAATGGAATTTGTAAACAAATAAATGTGTAAAACTAGCAATGGAGGGGGTCACGTAACAAGAAGAGTAATAACCACAGTAGGCAATTTATACTGAACTAATGCAAAGGAGTGATCTCTGTATTTGTGTGTTTAACCTTCCAGAACTATTTCCACATAATTCCTTATAGCATTTATCCTTATTTGATATTTTATCGAAAATATACCAGTTAATTGTTTCTGATATTATAAAGTTCAGAGATTAGGCCTACTCATTTTTATATATTGAAAATAAAATAGGATAAGGACCGTGTATAGTACATTAGAAATTTTTGAACAGGTGCAAGACCACTGATTGCATTTTGATTTGCATTTAAGAATACAAATTACCTGATCTGTGAGTTCGTTCGCAAACCAGGAGTAGATGAATAATGCTGTTAGGACGGCACCGAAAGATAAAACACCTTGGGACATCTGGATGTAGTTTCCCCAGCTCTGAAGCTCACAGACATGCGATGTTGTTAATGTTAACTCACTGCTCGAAAACACTGATACTATGACAAAAAACACGAACTTTAAACGTAGTATTTAATGTTGATTAAGATATTAGGGGATTTGCATGATGTTTATATTTCTGTATTCATATGTAGATTTTTTATATTGCATTTATAAAACAGGCAACTCTGATGATATCACTAGACAGTGACAAATATTTGTTACATTTAAGAAACAAAATTTATTAAAACATTAAATTAGGTTATAAGTAGTTCCATCTGATAATGACTGATATCGCCGAAACGTATCATATCAAAATACTGACATGAAATAAATAACACAGAAAAGTCATTTGTTGTGTGCAGACTGAGGATAACGTAAAAGGTTTATTTGAGAGAAATCGCAGTAAGTGGAAATGTCAATTTCAAGGACTGCATCCTAGTGTGTAATGGATATAACAATATGCATGATACTGCCGTTTACTTTAATGTGTTCGCGTTGTAACTTTCGGTCTTACTAGGGCCATACTCGAATGTGTGCCTTCAGCGATGAACAATCTTGCGAAAATAAGTGGTGTATACCCCAGTTACGCAATATACATTGGGCTTAGACATTCTCATATGTTTCTGTTATGGTGAACCAGTTTGTTTGAATATTATGTTTTGGGTTGTTGGGGACGAATTGTTCGTTTAGACGGTAATTTAGAGGCGTAAAATTATCAGTTAGTTAAATTAAAATTAAGGTGACGTAAAAATTTGGATTACACCTGAGTCAGTTTGAAGTATTAGTTTAATACAAAACAGTGAATGGTTAAAGTGACATGTGTATGGATAACCAGTGTAGATTTTTAAGCGAATCATGACTTACCGTAACAATAGAAAACGAAGCGAAACACATGCACACCAAGCTCAGGAGGAAGTTTCCAGCCATAACAGGATTTGTCGTTTCTTCCAGCACTCGGATGTAACTGGCGGAAAATAACATAATTATGCCCAGGTCTAATTTTTGTATTTAATCTGATGTAGAGACGATCTCTAGGGAACTTTAAGGATCAGAGTCATTCTTAAAAGGCTGAAATTTACTCTACTGGTCAAACCCATTAACTTTCGAAAGGGTAGTTACTTTTTTACAATATGCCCAGAAAGTATTCCCATCACTGAAGTGAAATTGTTGTAGTGCCTTGATTTGCGATTTATTATCTTTAAGTCATGAAAGTAGGCGTAGTTCTTATACGATAATCTCTGCCAAATGCACCTCAGTATTTGCTGGTGGTGACGTACGCAGTCGTTGAGTTGTTTCTGCATGCGTTGGAACATTTCACCAGATGCATTGACTTTTCCCTCTTCTTCTTGGTCAGTCTCAGCACCCGAGTCCTTTGAAATGTCGCGGTTCTGTCTGATGTCCAAGAGGCTCGTTCTCAGCTTCTCCAGCTGACTGCAGGCGATGCAGATGAACGTGGCGTACAATGCACTGAAGCCGAAGATGGTGCAGTCGTACGTGAGAGCTCCAAGTAACTGCCAACAGGAGACTCACGTATTGCGTATATGTAACTGGGTTGTAAATGTAATATTGTTCCATTCTGCCAGTTACTTATAAAGCCGGTATGTACGTTCGCCAGAATTATCATTATAACAATCTGAAAATACAGTTACACTTGGAACACCTTGTGTGGCCGTGAAAACGAAATGTTACTTCCAGTGAAACGTTACCTGCGTGAAATTGACCAGCTCGTACGTTGGACTCACTGATACATCGAATGGATACCAGCCGTTGTACGACAGTGGACGATTCGCCAACACTGCCATACGAACTGCGGTAAAGATGGAATGGAAAACTATTATAAACTGGATACATCGTTTTCCGATTAAGTGGACTCGCGGAATCCATCCAGCCATTGTAAGGGATCCTGTTTCAGAATCTATGATCGGCATTTCTTCCCACTTGAAGGAGTCAGTGAAGTTTATCAGTCGACCTATTTTATCGTGTCGGAATCTGAAAAAACCACCTTTCAATTTATTAATCTGTATAATATTTCAAAAGTCTATAGGCTTGTTGGAATGTCACTGTTGACTTAAAGTTATATTAGTTTAACATCGGTGTAGGCTTCAACTTTATTTGGAAATGAACGCATAATAAAAAGATATAATCTGTTTGTCCTTCTTTCTGTATTACCGCGCAAATTTGTAAAACTTTCGGCATTGGATGTCTGTACCCCAGGCGTTGATGCGTGAATTTGATTTCGGTTCTTATCTTCGAAACTTTCTTTGTGGGAAAGTTAGAGAAAATTCCAGGGTAGCCAACGTTCTTCCACATGTAGTGTAATTTCTCCCCCTTTCGTTTATGTTGACTATGTTTTCAAAATTTCTTTACCCATTTCTTCTTCCCCACTGATTTCACGACATTATCAGCCAGACAAGGTCATTGGTTGACTTTGAGCGTTGTACGACAGTGGACGATTCGCCAACATTGCCATACGAACTGCGGTATAGCTGGAGTGGAAAACTATTACAAACTGGATAATTCGTTTTGCGATTAACTGGACTCGCGGAATCCATCCAGCCGTTGTAAGGGATCCTGTTTCAGAATCTATGATCGGCATTTCTTCCCACTTGAAGGAGTCAGTGAAGTTTATCAGTCGACCTATTTTATCGTGTCGGAATCTGAAAAAAACCACCTTTCAATTTATTAATCTGTATAATATTTCAAAAGTCTATAGGCTTGTTGGAATGTCACTGTTGACTTAAAGTTATATTAGTTTAACATCGGTGTAGGCTTCAACTTTATTTGGAAATGAACGCATAATAAAAAGATATAATCTGTTTGTCCTTCTTTCTGTATTACCGCGCAAATTTGTAAAACTTTCGGCATTGGATGTCTGTACCCCAGGCGTTGATGCGTGAATTTGATTTCGGTTCGTATCTTCAAAACTTTCTTTGTGGGAAAGTTAGAGAAAATTCCAGGGTAGCCAACTTTCTTCCAAATGTAGTGTAATTTCTCCCCCTTTCGTTTATGTTGACTATGTTTTCAAAATTTCTTTACCCATTTCTTCTTCCCCACTGATTTCACGACATTATCAGCCAGACAAGGTCATTGGTTGACTTTGCCCCTCACACTAGAAGATTTTAACATCGTAATTCCTTGGTATTAATCCCGGATACTTTAGGGTGAGGCATTACCGCATGATGAAACTGAAGTACAATCATAACATTTGAAAGCACGACGACGTTGAAAGCCGACCATTGTTCTGGTTCTTTGTTATGTGTAGTTAAATTTAAAATTAACCAGTTTTCTCAGCGGCAGGCAACGACACAATATTGGAGCGTAACATGAAAATACGTGCCAATACATTATTGCGATGTATAGCTGATTTTGTGAAACACTTTATGATATTTTGAATATTATCTTAATACAATCCAGTAATCGACATTCTTTTAAACCTTAAGACTTCTAATGTGCGAGTGTTTTTAATAGAGGAATGCAAGGGCAAACGAAATACTTTAATATTTTGTAATTTTAAAATGATGGAGCACTAAGATGGTTGTCTTCTAGGTTGTTCCGCTATTAGTCTGGTAGAAGTTTACCAACGTTTCAGAGGTCCTTGATTCCTTCATCACCAGGCTCTAATGATGGTGAACTTCTATCAGACTACACAGCACTACAACCTTGACGACAACTATCTTTGGACTCTCGCCTTGAGAAACTCAAATTCTACTTATAAAGCAATATATCTTAAGGAATACCGATTTTATGAATATTCATATTTTTGTCTTGAGATTTTATAATAAAGACAAGTGATTAAGGATGATAATATAAAACTGAATATGATAATAGAAGGATAAAATAGCAACTAATAAAACAAGGAAAGTAAACCTATAACAAATGAATCATGAATTCATATTAATAAATAAATTCAAAAGACGGTATTGAAAGTTAAAAAACGTGCAAACATCATGATTAACAAACCAAAGAGACATCTTGGCGCGGAAGGAAGTTATTCAGAACTTATTTGGATTCGATAATTAAATGATCATACTGATTATGACCATTTTAATTCTACCTGAGGAAAACGTGGATCCATACAATCATTCCGGCTGGGGCGACGGCTCGAACAGTTTCCATGGTGTGTTCTAGTCCTTCAGTGTTCATGAACATATCCGCAACTAGGGCCACAAACGTTATATAGCAGCAGAATGCGGCTAGTGTAGAGTACAGTTTGAACAATGTAGGGACTTTGTTGAACAGGATAGGTATACCACATACACGGAACACGATTAAGAAGAACTGGAAACGCTTCTCTGTTTCGTGTCCTGTCGCTGAGACGCTTCGTTCGGCCATATTGTTGGGAATGGTTACAGGAAATGATCCACGTCTAGGTACGAACGCAGAACTTCACATCTGGCGCACAGTGGGCTCAGCTGTCTACTGCACAGCGATGAGGCAGATACAGGAGGTATTTATGTATTAGGAAACAGGGATCAATTTCTCAGCTCTTGAAATATTCAAGAGTAGAAAATACTTTTCATATCGAGAAGTATTAACAGTTACAATTCTAAACACAAAGTTCACGAAAATGACATGAACAGTGAATACTATATTCTAAGTAATTGTTGGATTCTGTGAGTTTAATAATTTCGTGAGAAACTGTTGTTTCATGAAAATAGATAGTCATGGTGTATTAAAAGAATGCAGTGTTCTAAAATTTACTTTCTTAAATATTACCAGCGTATATACTGAAAAATAAAAATTTCTCGAAATAATAATGATATATTATTAGTGTACTTTAATTGTCTGCCGAATGAACAGACTACGTAAGTAACCCAATGACAATGAAACGTAGTAACTAACCAAGCGAATTACTTGTTCTCTGATATTAGAAGGTTAAAAGGTTTCTAGAACCAATTCCGTCATTTGAACTTATTCTGGACCTCTTCATTCTGTTTACTTTTACCGAAACATATGTCATTAACGTCAGTATTAACGTTGATCTTTCAAGTCCGTCACTGTCATGTGTATGTCGTATTTTACTAAAAGGTTTCCCTATCAAAATTAGAAAGTGTGATTTTAATTTTACTCCTAAAAGGTTAGTCCTTTTCAAGCATCATTTGCCTTCAAGCTGTGTGTTTTGAAATTTCTTAAAATGTATGGAATCTTTACATAAGCTAGTAAACAAATATGTACAAATAAATAGTAAACAAAAAAGTAGTGAATTACTTAATATGCTTTGTCTTTACGGTAACGAAGCAATCATCTTGAATATTTGCCCTTTTCAATCATTTTTGTAAAGAAATGTTGTTAATTATGTAAGCGAAATGTAATCAGAAATGGCGATTGAAAAATGTCTGTGTTCTGAGGTAATGTTTTGTGCAGCCTGGTAGATATTGACCAGCCTTTTAGAGGAGTTTACTGCCTCTGTCATCAGGGTGATCCTTCGCCGTGAGAACCTAAACTCACACCTGAGTGACGATTGTTTTCGGTCATATAGAAATCATTTAATAACTTTAAGTATGTTATTCTATCATATCCGAAGTCTTACATGCCTGTCGAGGAACATAAAATGTTTACACCGAACACCTGTCTCAACACACAGCTTTATCGAGCTGCTAATTCTAGGTCCGATGTAGTGCTATCAGCTTTTAGAAGCCAGCTTCGGCATTTCACTTAACCCGAAGAAGAGAGCACAGTTGTATCTATTTTGTGTCTGTTTATTAAACCATGCAAGCGATTACTTGATGAAGCATTGCAGTTTTGTTCTGTGATCATGAAGCATGCAATTTGGTGACGGCTACTTTCATGCAGAAGTCGCATGGAAGCTTCATATTTATGTTTTGTTGTAGTCTGTCGAAACTCTTCGTAGTTGCAACACGTTTGGCGAAGGAGTCGTCATAATGTAGGTCATCTGGTTTGGAGGAATGTCGCTAGCTTATGAAATTAAATAGAATTTTATCTGAGGATGTTGAAGAAAAGGCGAAATATCCTGTTAATTAGTAAGAATATTTACCTCATACGCTTGTAATAGCATTTAATAGCTAAACGTGAATTGTGTATTTCTGTGTTCCTAAAATAAAGTCCGGTGTGATTACATATATCTTTCTACATATAAAGTCTACTCTTGTTACGTTTGAGTGAACCGTTGTGAAGTAACGTGTTCCATCTAGTGTAAGACTAGGAGCCCTTACATACATGGAGGTACTACGTGTTGATTCATTCGTCAGTTTCGATGCTGTCCTTGACTTCAAGTAGAAACATGAAGTACGACACGCTTTGATTAACCATCTGCAATCACAAAGTACACACATTTAATGTCTTGTTCGTTATTTGAATAAAACATCTACTGTGTCCTGTGGAAAATAACTATATTAAAAACTAGAGATACGTAGGAGGGTGTTTGGAATTTGATTCTCTTGAATCAGTGTAATTTTCGCGAAGTCATTTCATGGAGCGAGAGATTTGTCTGTCTGATATGAAACAGGTGAGACGATTTATTGACACAAGGTGATCAAAATTTGAGATCAGGTTTGAACCAACTTCGTATATAGGCCTGCACTCATTGGCGCTGTAGGTTCTTAATTTAAGCATCACCCTATGCAGTCATATGTATCCATTTCTAGGTCATGTGAACTCATTATGAACCTTAGCATTATATTGACGTAAGTATTCA